CTCTATATATATATATATATATATATATATATATATATATATATATCCTCAATTTATATGAGATACGAGATATATATAAAAAATCTGCATTTATTCTTATATTCAGAAGTATGGAATAATAAAATTAAATTTAAGACAATATTTAAGACTTTATTTGAAAATTTAACGAAAAATTATTTGTATATTCAAGAAGATTAACACATGATTATTTTATATTTAAATAACACGTAATTATATAAGATAATATATATATATATATTATTTTAATGATTATTTTTTAAATAATTTATTTCAATAATATCTGATTGTAAACTAAAGTTAAATATAAGGAAATAACATTTATCTTGCAGTAGCTCATGAAAGTATTTGAACATTATTTTACAGAAAAATTCATTTAATTCGAAAATTCGAATGAAGTTTTATAGAGCAATTTTTCTATCAATTTTTGATATAATTTCATTTTTTTGAATATTTTCACAGCAAGTTGATAGAGCATTAAATTTTGAACATTTTTTTAATTAAAATATTTCTTTATTTCATTTATTTGATATTAAAATTATATTTACTATAAAATTAAAAGAAAATTTATTAATATTTTATCCATTGGTTTCATCCTTATTAAAAACTGAACGACTTTGCATATTGCACAAACGTGGTGCCTGAACTGATCCTACTACTCAAAGAATCACCCACTATCATAGAACTATAATCGTTTATATTACTATATAAGCTTTGCGGCTAACATAAATTATTGAAAATACTCTAGCTGTTGAAAAGCCAGGCTATCCAACCGCTTCACAAGCTCTGGGTCTATCCTTAACACGCTACCCTTATTGACGATTTCAACACTGTAATATATGTTACCAACGCCGACACATTAAAATTTCTGCAAAATGTTTCTATAACATCTACGTCTCCCTGTCATCCAGATGAGTGTGCCAATCCAATTCTTCTCGATCGTTGCTTGGATCATGATGACGATTCGCTGTCTTCGTGTACAGGCAGGATGCAATCAGCTTTGCCTGACTTGTGCCATTTGTTCCTCTGCTGTAACCGCTGCCAAAAATGCTGGAACATTTGCTGAATTAGCTGATATCGGCCGAAACGATTCACTTTGACGTCTTGCAGATCGTTGTCTTGGTATTGCATCGTCGATCAGGGAATATGTCCTGGAGTCAAAGGATTCAGGTCGTCTGGATAGGTGATAGATTGGGAGTTTAGACGAGATTTCATTTGCGTTAGCAGAGTGTACAGCTCTTCGAACTTCTGTTCAATTTATTTCGCCCGCCTATAAAATTTGTTCCCGAATTATCTGAAAATATTGTCCTGCATAATCCTCTGAATCTACAATTTGAAAAGATCTCGGTGAGAAGATCTGATGATTGGCTAATTCTAGGTGAATTTAATACAATAAGTGAAGCAGACGCATGTAGTTAGAGCGTATATTCGCAATAAATCCTACAGCTACTCTTCGTTTTCAGAATCGATTATCGGTTGATTTAAATCTGGCCAATTATTGGCATTCATTGCTAACCAAGCGGGTCCTGACCACCAAAGGGAATTAGTTTCTAGAGATTGGGGACTGGCACCCTCGGATACAATATTGGCAGGATTGTTGCATGAAGGTACATAACGCCATGCCTGATGATCGCATGCATTCTGTATTGATTTTACCTTTTTCTTAATATTTTTCTTTTTGTTTATCATCTCAAGCAAATCGGTGGAATCTGACCAGTAATAACATTTGCCAATGTTTAAATTAAGTTTAAATTTTGACATCAATTCAGATAGTAACTCCGCGGCATAAAATTCTAATTTCCAGATATTGGAAGCAGTCATTCCAATGGGTTTTACTTTGGAATTCGCGCAGAATAGCCGTGCCTCCCATTTATCCGTTTCTATCAGCGAGCGCAAATAAATGCATACTCCGTAAGCTTTATCGGAGGCCTTGCAAAAGCCATGCAATTCTATGTTTTCTTCGTTCTTTTCTAACGAAACGTTTGTTATCACGGGACGCGGAAATTGGAAGACTATTAACTTGTTTAAATCTGATTGAAACGATATCCACTTAAAATACATTTTCAAAGGGATTGAATCGTCGTCCATTAATTCGTAATTCCACGTAGTTTGTATCAAAAGCTTCGCTCGGATTTTTACTGGCGCTACCGATCCTAACGGATCATTAAACATCTGTATTTGGCTTGCTAAGAGTTGTCTAGTCACACACGAATATGCTATTAAAGAAAATAGAAGCGCATCGTCGATGATCGATGAATCGAATGTCGTAGGATCATCCTTCTCGGTCGCCGAGAAATTCTTCAAATACTTGGCCCGCTCTTCTAACAATTCGTGGAAATCTTTCCTGGAAACGGTAGGAGTGAAAGGTAAAGCCAATGCTCGCTCTTGCCATTCGTCCAACTTTATCGTGTTTAATTTTCTTGCAAGAATTTTGTCGGCATCCGCCGAGAGTTCACCTGATTTTTTCAGCGAGGAAAGATGGTCTCTTGCGTTACTAAAACCATCTCGTAGAATTTTGTCAAATGTTTTTTCGATCGTTGGATTAATAAGTGACTTATTTAGAAATCTAAAAATTGACATGTTCACTTCGGAGAAAATTGCTGGATACTGCTGGATATGGAATAAGGAGAACGCTAATGAAGGAACATCCTCTTGTCTCCCTTGATACCTGCGTACGTCTTCTATAAAATTTTTCACCAGAATCACTATATTGAGATCATTTTCGCGATCATCATTCTCCATCTCTGCTAACGTGCTAAGAACAGGAATTAGATGGGAGCTTAGATGCTAAAATTGATTAAAATGATGGACTTGCGAGATTGTCTGATGACCTTCCTTTCAGATCGAATACACTGATTCTCTGATGCCGAGGTGAATCCTTCCTTGATTGCCACTGTTTCCTGAATCTAGTTCACTTTTGAATATTTATTCTTTGACTGTATCCGGCTCGAAGGACCAAATGTTAAAAGCTGAACGACTTTGGATATTGCAGAAATGTGGCGTCTGATGCTAATGCTCGAAGTCACCACTTAAACTGTCGTAAAACTATAGTCATTTATATTATATTATATTTATTACGCAAGCTTTGAGTGAACAAATGGTATTTATTTTCTTTGTGGCTAACTGTAACGACTCCAACTGCGAACTGTATCGTCTATGAATTCTGTCCCAGTTTATATACTGTTTCTAATCTAACTGATTAAAATGAATTATCGCGAGTCTTGGTTTTTCCTCCAATCCCTTCTTTTCATTTGTGAAAATGCACATAGAGAGGGACCAATCGTCGCGTTGGAGGGCGGTTTCGATGCGTCACAGCGCGTGAGGAGCTTTGAATTGCACTCGCAAGGAGTGCAACTGCATCCTGTGAAGTGTGTTGCCGTTATCGTTACGTTTCTGTTTGAATTATATCCGCTCCGTGAATTATTGTTTATTTGGCTACTCGAGCTGTTGAAAAGTCTGGCTATCACAAGTCCTCCTGGATCTGTCTTTTGGACGATTCTTTTAAAAGAAAAGAAGAGCAAAAAAGAAATTGCTCCTTTCATAAATATCTCATTCAAAAAATAAAAAAGGAGTTCGAATACTTTCGTGAGCAGTGTGCATGCTCATGCTCAAACTACAATTTTAACTAAATTTACGTGCATAAAAAAGATATTATATCAATCTATCATTTCAATCAATTCACACAAATGTGAATACATTCGTTATTATATTTCTTCTTGTACAATATAATTTTGGATATAATAGATATTACGACATCGCCGCTTCGAGGGTTAAAATTCGTATTGAAATTGCGTTGTGCAAGTATATCGAGTTATAGAAATGATTGTTACGCACAATAACGCGTTGTATCAAATCCATTACGTTGCAACGTAAGAAACTTCACGGATATTAAATTAATTCTGAATGGAATAATGATTTGTCGTTCCATTTCGAAAATTGAAAATAAATTTTATATTTTTTTATTCCGTCGGTTTAAATTTAAATATAAAATTCAATATCAGAAAATTGATCGTTCCATTATCGAAAATTCCATTATACAAACACACGTCTCTGGCACAGAGACGTTGAACGCGGAAAATTTGAACACGCTTTATTGAAATTGAGATCGGCTATTGATTGTCTTTTGAAAATATACATTTTCAATCACTACAGTTTACTTCTACTTTGAAACATATCATCTATACAAAATTGGAATACGATTAACATTAATTAAAATATTAATTAAAAAAAGGAAGAGAACTAATTTGTAGCATTAATACGTACGTTTAAAAAAAAAAAAAAAAAAAAAATCACGTTTCATACCGATAAATATAAATATAAATGATGTAAATTCATTCATTTGTATTATTGTATTATTAACATTGGAAAACGTAGGATCAAAATGAAAAGAGGCGAAAAAATATTGACGGCCGTGATAAATGTCTATCAAATAGGCAAGTATATTCATAAACTCGTGTTCGTTACGCTTGAGTTAACAGATTACACGCTAAACTTATGCGACAGTTACAGTGCAATGGTATAATAGCGCGTTACAACATTCAAACGACGCTATAATGTCAACTTGCACTTCTATTAGGAAATCTCTCGTTAAATCTTGCGAAATGTCGTTCCGATTATTTTTTTCGAGAAATCGAGACGAATGATGAATTTGAATAAAAACGTTTTACGACTCGATCGAGATCGCAGAAAGGATATATTTTTCTTTTCTTTTTTTTTTTTTTTATTGCGCCGAAGGAAAAAAAAACACATCTCTTTCCATAAATTACTCGTCTAATAATAATACGAATACGTCTATTTTAAAAAACGATTACGAGACGCGAATACGTTTAACATACGTGGTGTATATAAATTGTTGATAGTATGCATCGTAAAAGGAAGAACATAAAACGATAATAATTGTTCGAATTGTATTGCAACAAGGATTGTATTTCGAATATATTCAAAAGATGTGACGAAAGATTTTTACTTTTGAAAAAATGATGAAAACACGAGTGAAGCATAAATGAAAATTCTAAGAGATTTCGTGGAGTATATATTGTGACGAATTAATGAAATTAATTTATTCGATATTGGATAGAAAGATTTGAAACGAAAGAACGAAACACTGGATTGCAAATCTCTATCTGGATTCGAGAACAATTATTCATACGGTGGTTGTATACGAATATAAATTTATAATTTAAATTGATTAATTATTGATTTTTAATTCCAGAACTCCATTTTAATTTTTCCAACTTTTTTTTTTTTTTACATTTTAACAATACTAGTCGCACGTTTCCCGCAGAATTTCATCTAAATTTCACAAATCCGAAAGGAAGAAGAAATATCTCACGATCCTCTGTGTTTCACTGAAATTATGGAAATATCATCTGGATAGAATGCAA